CTAAGCTGAATGTATTTCCTCAATTTGCTACTCTACAAGGTCATCCGTTCATAGCAATATCTGGTGGTAAGATACTGCCTTACTTCACCACGTCAGTCTTAGAGAATTTTATTTGGGAAATAATGCGTATCTCAACTTGTCTTCTCATTCATATGCAGTCGAATAAATAGTAGGTTAATCGGTTTTTATAAGTATTTTTCAATTAAAAATGCAAATAAGTGTTCTTTTGAATAAAAATATCAGGCCTCAAGGGAAAAGTATATTCTCAAAAACCTTTTCAATCTCTAGTTTTCGGGCACGAACGCCCTTCTACAGGAGAAAACATTTCTTGAAAATAAAGATACTTCGGCCAGCAAATATTTTTATTACCTCGACGTTTCGACAAAAATCTCTTGTCCTCGTCAGGAGCAAACAAAAATTAAACATTTAGCAAGGCGTTAAAAATCTTTGTCGAAACGTCGAGGTAATAAAAAGATATACTGGCCGAAGTATCTTTATTTTCAAGAAATATGAATGCCGGCCATCAGCCTCAATATTTAGGAGAAAATATGATATAATTTATTATTATACCATGTTTTATCTTGTAGAAGGACGTCCGTGCCCAAAAACTAGAGAATAGAAAGGTTTTGAAAATATACTTTTCCCTGGAGGTTTGATATATTTTACTGAATAATGATATAAGGGATTATTTTATTGAAGTGTTCTTTTCCGTCTAAGGATGGAGTTGGAGACTTCTCTTGTTATCTCCTTGTCTTCTACTTGTCTAAGGCTGTTCTAGGATGTAAGATGAGCCAATTAAGTTTCTCTTCTTATGAGATGGGAACTTAGAGCATGGCATTTCCCAAACTGTTTCAGTACTTTGAGGAAACGATCGTCTATAGAGGTGGGATGATATAAATTCCGAACGGGTGGATAAAAATCAAATTGGAAGAGAAGGAAGAGCATTAAGCCTAATGGTCCTATTAGATCACTCAGCAGCAGGAGCTATCTCCGCAGACCAATAACTTGGCGGCTCTTATAAACCTGAGGCACCGATTAGCACCCAGCTGGTAGCGAGAGCTATGTTCTCGTGGAGTTTTTTTCATCCCTGGAGAATATAAAGTGCTCTCAATAGGATAGATTTTTATTAGAAATATAGTAAATATTCTCTCATAAATGTTATATCTATCCGTTTTAATATAAAATCGTTTTTGACTATGTATATGTTCGAATTATCGTTTAATGATTGGAAATTTAGAATTAGTTATTAATATACGTTAATGTCTGTATAACTATATAATTAACTATATAAGTTATATTGTGTGTTCTCAACACAATTGTATTTCTAACAGATATCTTTATACCTTTGCTCATATTTATGATGTCCATTCTTCTTTTGCATTCGCTCCACCAAAATGAATATGTGAATTATTTTATTTTCGGAAAAATATATATTATTGATGTTTATTTCGAAATATTCCTTGATTTATTTTAATTAACACATCGTTTAAGTTAAAAAGTAAAAAAAAAAATGTTTTAACGCTTTGCCAAATGCTGCATTTTTATTCATTTCTCCTGATGGAGATAAAATATTTTTGTTGAAACGTTGACAAAATAAAACTCTAACTGGCCGAAGTGTCTATTTTTTACAGAAATATAAATGCCGGCCAGACAACTTCTATCTTCAAGATAATTTAAAAAGGTCACTTCATTTCTCTCGTGTCAATATTTTGTTTATACTATCAAATTTTTGGTAAATTAAAGCTTCTAAGGTTAATCTCAGGTTTTTCATATTGCTGTAATGGACTATTGTTTGATGTAGGATAAAAGAGTGACCGGTTTAATGAGCATGTTAGAATATCAGAAAATAGTTATCCAGGTTGACACATCTCTGATGTTCGGTCAACAACCCTATCAAAATATACTCGTCTCCACAGCATATAGGTTATTTTTCTATATCACAGTATTTATTATTTTTAAGTAATTGATATAAATCTTATTTTGCATACAAGATATGTGAAAATAAGATTTATATCTGTTAAAGAACCGCGTGGTTTGAAATATTTTATTTTATCGTTACATTGAAGGCAATTCTTCTTACGCGTTCTTAAAATGTACGTTATATATTTAAGGAGCTTATTGAATAGTTTAATTATAATTCAAATTAAGTCCTACGTCTTTCAATTATTGATGATAATATCTATTTGTAATAATTTTGATGTTTATCACACATATTGTTATTTGTTGAAACAATTTAAAGGTTCTTCATCGTTTGCTAAAAGGTGAAGTCATTTACTTTCTATTTGATTATTTTAAATTTGTTGAAGAGAAAAATTCAAATCAATATTTTATCTGGTTCATTTTACTTTATAAAAAAATATCGTTGATTCTCTCTCTCTCTGTCTCTCGTAACATTTACGATTTTTTTAAAATCTATTAATGCCCACACACAAAAGCCTTTATTAGGGACTTGCCCCATACAGATTCTCCCAATTGGGTAAGGTAATAATCATCTTGTGTTATTTTAAATCTTTTAATAAATTTAAGCGCTATATATTCTCAATACTTTGTTCAAATTTCATTCTCGAATGCTTTTTTCAAATATTTATTTTTAAATCGAAATATAATGGGAATAAATAAAATTTATGGTATAATTACGAGGTTAATACAACAATTTTAAATTTATAGTGGTGTATAATAATTATATATTTAATAAAATAAATACATTTCACAGATTTAATCGAGTTTATCCAGTTGGGACCCCTCGGGCACAATCTGGCAACTTATTGGTTTTGTCGTCTGCACAGCTTCTTCCTTTCTCCACAGATCACTTATTAATTCATTGTGCAGCAGAAGTTCTAGAGGCAGGGATCTTCCTTACCTTTCTTATACCTCTTGTATATATAAATATACATTTATCCTCTACTCTATATACTTAGATAAAGTTATTCTCCTATATTGGGTTGGCAAGTATAAATTGCTAATACAAACTTTCTCCTTTATATTTTATTTATCATATATCTTAGATATCATGTTATTATCACATAGAAAGGTTTTGATGAATTTATAATAAAAATAAAATTCAAAAAATAATAGAAATAATCATTATCAAATAATATTTTGAAAATTGTGAGAGACATTCTTAAATTTTTCGATTTAATTTTGAATTTCATATTGTAAAATGTTTTGTATTCAATTATTCTTTGATTTTTATCTATTGTTTGACAGTCGTCAACACTGTAATTTATTTCTTTCTCTAATTTTGTATGAGTTGTTTTTGTTCATATATTATGGTTAACCTTGATTTAATTGAATTAAATATTAAAAGCCTGAGATATCGTCAATTTTATTTACTATTCACAAATGTTTGCAATTCTTCAATGTGAATATATTCCTGATTTCTGTAATTCCATAATCACAAAAAATGGATAACTACTCTAACATAAAAGTGTGTTGAATCTTGTTTCTCTACCTCAGCAATAATTTATATTCTTTATTCTTCTTCTTGTTGATAAATATTTTAAAATAAAACTACAACCTTTCGCAATAAGTTTCTTTTATTATGATATGCGCGAGCTTTCGGGCTGGAGCTGCCCTTCTACAGGCAAAAAATGAAACATTTGATTCACGAGAGACACGAGAGACAGTTATATACATTTGATTTGTTACAAATTTTAAATAAAATATCAGAAAGAAAAGTATTAAAACTACATAAATTATTACTATTTTACTTTGTTTAACAATTGGAAATAATTTAACCTTAAATTTCAATATTTTAATAAAGTTAAGTTTTAAACTATGAATTGGATAAGCGAGAAATCTGATTTTTGTGGTATGGAATATGACAAAATTGTTCTGGGATATCTATTCTACGATTAATACTATTGTGTTGTTTGGAAATCAGCGATTCAAGGATTAATCTTTCAGATTTGGTGGTTATGTTACTGTAGTGGCAAGTTGGACTGTCTAAATTAAATTTGTGGCCGGTATTCATGGTATGTTGAAAAATGAGGGATCTTGGATCTTTGGTCTTCATATTGTAAGTATGTTCCTTCAATCTTGTCTGTATTTTCCTGCTTGTTTCTCCTACGTATATAGATGGACAATCAATGCATGACACGGAATATATGGCATTTTTCTTCTGAAGGGGGTTCTGGTCTGTGGTCGATTTTGTGATGGGATTTCTAAGGATATTCCCGATGGTTCTTGGGGTGCGGAAAAAGAACTTGATTCCGTATTTCTTCATTTCCAGGGCTATTTTTAAATTGGTTGGTGAATAATCAATATAACAGGTCGTTTTGAAAGTCTGCTGGGTTCTATGATGGGATGGATTGTAACAGTGATAAATATTTAATAAAATTATCGTAATAAGTTAGTAATTGAATATTCTCAAAATATCGTATATAGATTTATTATATATATTGACTATTTTTTACTGAAAAATTGATAAGTAAAAAAACCAAATCAGTTTGGTGAAGTATAAAAATGCTTTCATAGAGAGATTTACTAGAATAAAGGCACACTATATAGTTTAAACGATTGGTCAAATAACATAAAAACATAGCTGTATATCACAGATTCCTGTTCAACTTAAATTCCATTTAATACAAAATAACAACGATGTACATGTGTAATATAGATTTTATTTGGGGCGTGTACACTTTTAAATATAACTGATTATCTCATTACACTATTTTAATTGGAAAAATACATGTAATATTTTACTGATTTTCCTTTTTATTTATTTTTTATTTGACTAAATTGGCTTTAATGAAGACATAAAAAGCAAATCAGAATTTTGCACGAATCCGATCATTTCCGTAATACCCCAAACAAGGTTATATTTGGTTAATAGGTGTTGTTAAGGTTTTCCCATATATGAAGATGAGCTATTGTTCTATAAATATGTCTTTGGTAATCTTCTTTATGCATGTATTGTGTTACCTGATAGTCGTTACCCGTGGGTAATGGCTGACAATATCAGAACCATCCAAAAACGGTATAAACGTACGGAAAATATGTCCAGGGTAGTCTAGTGTACATGTCATCTGCCCGGTAAGCGAAATGTGGGTTCGATTCCCATCCCTGGACACTTTTATTTTTCCGTTCATCATTACTCTTCACAATTCATCCTTTCATACTTTATTCCTAAGGATAGGAATAGTCGTTATTTCTCCTTAAATAATTAAAATTATGATTTTTCGTTCTGTAAAAAGAAACATTTGCATTAAAACTTGTTAAACGTCGTTCTATAAACGTACTATGTATACATATATATGAAATATCTTCAGTGGCTATAAATCTTTCAATACATTTCAACTATGTAACACTGTTAGATGATTTTAAATATAATTTGTTAGTTGGAAGTTGTTGGACACCTGCGCCGCCACTCAAGTATAACACGTGACCGGAAGGATGACGTCGCCCCCCCCCCCCCCCCCCCCCCCGCTCCTACTGACTGTAAAGTTTAGCCTAACGACGCTGTTGTTGGTTTACCTTCTACGGAGGATGTAACCTCTTTGTTTCCTCTCTTTCCCTTTTTAATCTTTATATAACCTATGCTTTAATAAATTAGTTAGTGCAAGGCTCTTGTCCTAAGTGTAACCAAGTACCTTGTCTACACCCCTACAAGAGAAGTTAATTCATAGGAAAAAACACAGCCACATCAACTTATAGTTTATTTCAACTCCCGACCTTTCAGTGACTTCTTCTCACTCTCTACAAGGGAATTACTCTGAATAGTAATAATATGTCTGAAAAGAGTGATAGGAAGTCATTGAAACATTGTAAGTTAAAATAAACTATTTTCTGATGTGATTGTGTTTTTCTCCTATTAGGTGAGATACTAAAATTGAGACATACCGTACACTGAAACGCTCAACTTGGTTGCAATCTAATATCTCAGAATGTAAGAGCATAAATTCTTATAGCATCGTCAGCCACGTGCCCTGAACTCTATTTTGTTCTGCAATGTGCGTGGTCATCTCCCGTGATTGGCCATCCGTGAGGTAATTGCAGGGCATTAGGGGGAGAAACTTGAGATCCCTCACCCTTGGAGAGTGGTCTGATGCTGTTGGATTCTCTGATCCCATCTGACTCATCGACCAGGACCACCGAGTAGAGACCTTCACAGATTATCTGGGACTATTAGGACTTCATTCACTGTGTTGTTATTAGAACCCACAAATCTATTGTCTTTGACTAACAAGATGGAGAGAGGTGGTTACGTTATTAGATATAAAAACTTTGATTTTGTCATTTATATAGAGTCCATTTATCGAAAAATTTTAATTTTTCATATGTGTGTAAATTTATTGTGCATGTAATTTGTTTTTCACTCTCCCTTTTTATTTTGAGGTAGGATCGATTAAACTACAACACTCTGCTAGACTAATTAGTAACTTCTTTTCCTAACGTATCATGGACAACCAAAATTTTACGCATAGTATATCGATAAGATATTACTATGGATATATTTTTAGTTTGCCACCAGAGCGCGCGCGCATCAGCCCATTTTATATTTTACGCGGGTAGATTCTAATATATTTACACAGTAAAGTTAGCGTGTCTCATATTTAATTAAAAAGGCATATATATTGATCATAAATGAATTTATTTACCTATATTTCAGTCGTTTAAACGCCAACCTTTAAAAGATAAGATAACGTATTTATGCATTTTTTTGAACACGTTGTTTAACCTTCAAATTTTTGGCATTCAGACAAATAAAATATTTGTTAAATAACTTATTTTTTTATTCAATATATGTAATTTTAAATTAAATATTTATTTATGGATTTCTCTATCTAAACACAAATACGAAACACATTCGAATATGCAATTATATATTTTTTAAAATAATAGTTTCACTAATGAAAAATGTGGTCAATTTTTATTTTTAAACAATTCTTTTTCACAGAAATTGTCTTCCAGACAGCCTCTCAGTTGCGTTAGGAATTATGAATAACATAAAATAGATTTATTTAAGATTAAATATACAGGATTACATGATACAATTGGGAATACAAAAGGTATAATACCTTACGCTATATTATTGGTAGAAAATCATACTGTGACAATTTTATTAAATGCAATTTTTAATATCCCTAGCTTTCAGGATTTTACGCACTTCTACAGAGAATATTATTTACTAACTATAACGTTGCCTCAGTCAAAATACTCCTGTAGAGGACGTATATTCTAGATATAATAAAAATTGTATATTTAAGAAACTTTTCCCCTTTTTGTTTTTCTACCAAACAACAGAGATGTCCAGAATTTTATCATTAAAACTAAATGGCCATCATTAAATGATGCATATTAAAGATTGAAATAATTTTCCCCGACATTTCGGGGACCCACGTTCGGCCTTTCGAGAAAAATATTTACCTCGATGTTAATTTTTGTATATTTATTAGAGTCTGTATATAAATGCATAGAGCGTTTTTTTCAGCGACATTTTTACCTTGTAAACGGCCTCAGGGGGTCATCAAAACGTGGATTGAAAACCGATTAAGTTTGACGTTATACCATTTTTAATTTGCATAATTCCAACCAAACAATAATGACCATTGTATTAGGTATAACAGATTTAAATTACGGAGGAAAGATATTCATGTACCAAGAGAGATACCGCTTATTTTAATTATTAATCAGAACGATGCATTTTAACCACCTTAGTAAAGAAGCCCTAGTTTTATCACCACTATTAAAGAATTTCACTATTCTGATGAACAAAATGCATCGTTTTGATGTACACCCATACCTCGTTTTGCGTCGGGGTTACGTTCCAAAAATACACGACGCAAAGTGAAGATATGTGAAGTCGCAATCAAAAACAAAGGTGTTGTCATATTTTAGGAAAAAAAAAACTAAAAAAATTAAAGACTCGAATCCAAAACAACGCAACTTCGAAAATCTAACGACGCACAGTGAAAATCAGTAAAAATTAAGCAGCGACGCAACTTCGAAAAAAACGCAAAACGAGGTATTGGTGTATAATTAAAAGAAAAGGTGCTTCTCTAGGTACAGAAATAAGCTATATTGAAAATTTTAACATTAAAATCTATTTCTATATTCAAATAATAATACAACCTAAAAAGAATGAATACTCATTTAGAAAACAACAAATTACTTTTGTTTCGCAATCAAAACTCCATCTCCCAATTCACTAATTGCTGTTGAAAGGCAATAATTGAGCGCGCGGAGTAAATAAGAATAAATGTGGGCTATTAGAGAAATGAAATATTTTAAAACAGTGCAATTATTTTAAATGGCGCTTTATGGTTCTTTTATTTCGTTCACCAATTGATACAAATAGGGCCGTTTACCTATTTTTCAATATACCATTAAACAAACTTCACTTCATCAATTATTCTTAAATGGAGGAACATAGATTTAATTGGTACAAAATAGTCGCTCTGTATAAAAATGATTATAACATTATATTTCATATATATATATATGTCATAATTTGTATATAATTAAATGCAACCCCGACCCACTATGTATGTACCATGTATGATTTTCAAAGATTTAATAAAAGAATAAGGTAACTGGAGGAAAGAAAGTAACAAAAGACATAGGAAGTAGATCTAGAGGAGAACATATTTATTAATAACGCCGCAGTTAACCTTCTGACCCCGGGGTCCCTGCGAGCTAAGTTTAAACCAACACTTCCTGGCAGAGACCGGACGTCTCTAGTGACCGCAGAAGTTATATTAGTCAAGAAGCACTCAATACTTCCTGACAAAACAGGACGTATCTAATATCCGTCGAAGTTATAAGCGTCAAGCTACCCAACACTTCCTGACGAAATCGGTTATATCAGGCAGGCCATATCTTTCACCAAAGAGAGCCGCGGGCCAATCAGAAGACAGCACCTTAAGTAGGTCAACCAATAGGAAAAGATCATGTGACATCTCTCGACCAATCAGAGAGAAACTGAGTCTTGGTGTTAAATCGAAAAGTAAGAATTGTTGGCAACGTTTTCGCTCTCATAGGAATAACACCTAGAGTGGTTCGCTTGCTCTCGCCGAGTTCAGATCCAGTCATCGACTCGACCCCACCAAGGTAATGTCTGCTCACTAGAGACCTCTCTCTCCGCTCATTTCATCTAAATCCAATCATCGCCATGTGATCAGATAATTAATAAGTCAAATCGCTCAGCTATTCTCAAACTTTCTTTCCTCCAATCCAGTTGCCTTTCATTTTCAAACCCCATCACGTGTCCTGATTATTTCTAACTGTATGCTGCAACTTCCACTCAAACGACTGCGCTTCAATCAAATCTCACCATTCGCATCCAACAACAAGAAATTCCGCAACGATATTGTCACAGAACGGTTAAGTCGACAGGATAAAGATTATGGAGCTTAATCAGGATCAAGATGGAAATTAGCCCAGACACCAGCAAATCAAACGGCAATGACAAAACCAGCGGAAAAGAAGCGGACAAGAAGAGAGGCGACCAGGCGCCTTCTAGCGGCCATCATATGGCAGATGACCGTGGCCATCCGACGTGTCAACGCCCCACAAAATGAGACGGAATTCCGGAGCGCCATTCCCCGGGGAGGACGACGGACACAACCCCCGCCAACCCCAGGCGAGTGTCACCAAGGCCGGACACCGACCACCGAGAAGTCATCCACCGCCATGCCGTACACAGTCCCCGAAACCAACCCGCGCGACCCGGGACAACCCAAACGATCCCAAAATGATCTTCCAGTACCGGACTTCACTTCAATTTCGCGGACGGTGCGAGCAGTCCCGAGCCAAGCCAACCATCCCAAACCAAGACGTTCCAGAGGAGACCTGTTGAACTGAGGTAGGCACCCACCCTATGGCGTCAAGAAATTGACTTTGGACTCATAGCTAATCCTACCTACCTCTTTTAACCATATCTAACCTTTGTACTCAATGAATGCACGCACGGGCTAGGCCAAACCTGTCCGAAAGGACTCGCACTACAATCAAATTTGTCACACAGGACAACCCTTGCCTGCATTCATTGACCCCACTACCATGTTTATCACTCAACCCAATTACCAGTACTATATGCCCTCAAATACAAGCCACAACGGCTTCAACCC